AGAGATGCTGTGTGTTCTGACCCGCCAGCACCGCCCCCTTCCCTGTCACTGAAAGGGAAGGGACCCAGGAGATCCGGAGTCTGTTTAACCTGCCAGACTCCAGCTGGGGAGGCAGAGGGAACTCTGGGCCCTGACAGCTCCTGCAGAGACCCTGACGGTGAGAGAATGAATGAGGCCAGGGCCATGGCGCCTGGCTAGGTGACAGTTGAGCAAGGGTGGCTCCTTTCCTGGACAATGGGTGACCAAGGGTGGCACCTGGCATAGGCTATGGGTTAGCAGGGTGTCCTGGTGTGGGTGACAGTGAGGGCAGGAGGTGGCCTGGCGTCCAGCAGGTGCTCAAGGTAACAGTGCTGCTTCAGTGGGATGATATGTTCTTTGGGGAGGTGGGGTACAGAGACACACTCCCTGGAGAACCTGCAGGTGGGTGTTCCCAACCGAACCACCTGTGACAGCCCTCAGTGAGGTCCTGGGTCCCTGTATGGGCTTTTCAGACAAAACTCGAGTATCTATTGGAAAGGGAGAGATAACAGAGAAGGAGGTGTTCCATCTGCAGGGTCACTCCCAAGTCACCGCAGTGGCTAAAGTTGGGCCTTGTGGAAGCAAGGAGCCCATAGAGTGTTCTGGAAGCATTGACCCATTAGCAGGGAGCAGATTTGGACATGGAGCAGGCAGGACTTGAACTGGCACTCCAGGGGCAGTCGGTGTCAGAGGTGGCAGCTTTACCCGCTACACCACAAACCTGATACCATTTAGGGTTTCTGTGTGTGTGTCACAGGTGTGTGTGTGTGTGTGTGTTAATTCAGGTATACAAAGAGGAGGAGAGACAGAGAGGAAGATCTTCCATCTGATTATTTCACAACCCAAGTGTCCACAACTGACAGAATTTTGCCAGGAGCCCAGAGCCTGTTTCTAGGACTCCCAAACAGATACAGGGTCCCAAGGAGGTGGGCCTTGACTGCTTTCCCAAGCCGCAAGCAGGGAGCTGGTTCAGAAATGGGGCCGATACATTTAGAACCAGTGCCCATATAGGATCCCACCTCGTGCAAGCCAAGTTCTTTAGCGGCTAAATAGCCTCCACACCTCCTCCCAGGGTAGGGATTCCAGCAGGACCTGGTCACCTGCCCCAGGTCCTAGGGCTCACCTCCATGGAGGCTGCTGGATGCATTAGCCAAAATGGTGAATGGTCCAGCAGTGCTCATGTTGCCTGCTCTGGGTCCTTGAGCCCACCTGCATGGTGGGTGCTGGGTCCATTATTCCTGTGAGGTGTCGAGTGGAGTTTTAGCCACCTGGCCTGTGTTCCTGGTCCCTCTAACATGGAGGGTATCCAGTCCTTGACCCCAGGGTTGGGGGTTGTAGGCAGGCCCAGGTGGTCTGGCCTGGGTCCACGGACCCACCTATGAGAGCTGGTCCTCCACAGTGTAAAGGATGGAATACTGCGTGGCAGACCATGGTGCACAGCGAGGATATGACAGCCCATTGGGGCCAGCAGAGCACGCAGCTACCATACCAGAGAGCAGAGGACAAAACATGTGGACAACTACCACATCCTAACGATGACAGCAAATATCTGTGCGAAGGTCGACCGTGTCAGCCAATGGGCATTGGAAGGGACTCCTCAGCCACAGGACGGCCAGAGCAACAACATTTCAGGGAGATTGCATCCACGTGGGCAGAACCCTCAGCGCATGCGCCACATGGTGACCCTGGGCTGATATCAGGAGGCCGTTCCCCTTCCTCAGGGACTGGAATGGTGGGGAGGCTGGGTATGGCTTCTTCCCTTATCTGCCCCGTTCCCCATAACATGGGAAGGACAAATGGAAAGTTTGGAAACAATGATCACATCTACTCTCCCTAGCCCTCGATCCTTCCTGCCCCCATCAGCTGGGTAAACATCACCTAATGGTAATAAATAAAATAATAGAATAAGTACAAAAAGAGACCAAAAACATGGTGAGACCCCACTGCAGACCCACTAAGTTGTCCCATGATTACCATAAAAAGCAAAAAACAGGCACAAAACCATATGGGTGCCAAATGCTGTCCAGCATGTTGAGGACTGGGAGCCTTTCACGGCCCTTGAGGAAATTATAGTGGTGCCGCTACTGTGGACAACTCCAGCAAATCCTGGAAAAGTTCATCTTTGAGCTACCCGGCCTAGGTTCCCACTGAGAGATACAGAGCATATTAGATTGTTCTGGAATGATCGTGAGCTGCATGTTTGACCCATATGGGGGCTTTGAGGAAGGGGAAGCTGGAAGCGGAGGGGCCATGCAGGAGGTAACTCAATCCTGGGGCTCCCAGGGATGGCTCTGTGCTGTACTAGTGGAGTTACCCCTGAGAGGGGCTGTGGTGAAGTCAGGGCCCCCAACACCAGGCCATGCTGCCCATGGCATCTCCCTGCCTGCTCTCCACCACAAGTGACACAGCCAGAGGCCCCACCCAGATCCCAACTCCTGCGAGCACCATGAGCTTGACCCTGGGGTGGGAGTTGAGCAGGAACAAGCTGAGACTTGACTGAAGGCCCCTGAGCTGTCCTTCGGGATGGCCAGTCCTGGGCCCGGCGGGGCTCACACAGTGAAAGGCAACACCAGGAGAAGGGTGCAGATTCCCTGTGTTTCCCCGTGCCTTCAGGTCTGGCTCCCCTTGCCGCCGCCCCAGGATGGCACTGCCTCCGACTCCCTGGCACCTTGGAGCCCAGAGCTGAACTCCAAGCAGCCCTGCCCAGCACAGGGCCTCGCCCCATGTCTGGTTCTGGCAGGCAAGACCCCAGAGTGAGACCCTCCCCGCCTCAGGCACTGCGCCATGGTGAGGGAATGTCCTGCTCAAGGCCGCCCTGGGTCAGTGCTGCCCCGTGTGAGCTGCTGGGCACCTGTGCCTTCCTCCTGGGAGAGCTTGTGTCCTGCACATGGGGACCAGGGAGCCTGGCAGAGCTGTGGGCAGGGAGTAGACGCAGGGAGGGGCAGCAGGGACTAAGAGCCTGTGGTGGAGGGATGGGAGTGCTGTGGGGAGAGAGGAGGCTTGGGGTGACAGCCCCACACAGCCAGGGCCAGGGGGCTGCACTTCCCTCTGAGAGCCTGTGGCCATCACAGAATCACCTCCCATGCCTCCTTCACCGGGTCCTCTCCTCTGATGCCCATGGAGCCCACAGGGAGCAGGGCAGGCAGGGCAGAGCCGGGGCTCCTCCCTTGAATATTTCTCCCTGGGACTCACACCTCCACACAGCTCTGTGTTGACTGTGGCCCAAGCTGCACCTCCATGTCACAGCTCCCCTGCTCTGTCTGCCAGGGTCCCCTTCTTACACCACTCCCAAGACCTCAGCCAGGCTGGTGCTATCCCATTCAGGGCCCACAGGCCTTCCCTTCCTGGGGCAACAGATGTGTCTGCCGAGTATCAGCCAGCACTCTGGACCAGCACCTTCCTCTTCCAGGCCTGATGGTATCCGAGTGTCCCCTCCCCACAGTAGGTGCTCACCCCAAGCCACACCTGCTCCCACCTTCTGTGAGGAATGCTCTGCCCTGGGGCTGAGAGCACCTGGCTGGCATGACCTGGGAAGCTCCATGCCCAGCTCACTCCCTGGGGCCGTCTTCCCCTCACACCTGCTCCGCCTGTCTGTGTGCCCCCCATGCCCTCCATTCCCTGAGCAGGATACCATCCTAGGACACCCTGTCCCTGTTACAGGCCCTCCTGCCACAGCAACTTCACCACATCTCTGTGGCGTCTGCCCCTTCTGCCCATCCAGCTCCCAGAGCCCTGGAGGATTCCACTCTCACCCTCCCCCATTGCTCTGGTCCCCAGTACTTGGCACCAGGTCTGTCACAGCCCAGCGAAGGCAAGGGCCTGCCTCAGGCTCTCCCCCACTCTCAGGAGGAAGGGGCAGCCTCCCTGGCTTGTGTCTTGTGTGTGACTCCCAAAAGAGGAACCTGTGACACTCCTCCCTCCACTCTGTCTCAGCCCTCCCTGCTGGGGCTCCAGGCCCTGTGTGCTCACAGCCGCTCTGCTCCCGGGACCATGGGCGTTGGCACCAAGACCCCAGCCCTCATCGGCCTCCTCTGCCTCGGTGAGCTGGGGACACGGGATAGTAGGAAGGCAGGGGCTCAGGGACGGCCACAGCTCCACCACACAGCTCAGAGGCACAAGGTGCAGATTAGGCCGGCTGCCAGCAAGTGGGGACAAGCTGTCACAGGACCTCTCTTGCAGGGCTGTGCTGGGGACCTTGGGACGAGGCACAGGCACAGGCAGGTGAGTGCTCCCAGCCCTGATCCTGGGCCAGCTGGGGTTGGGGAGGCCAGGACAGGGTCTGTGCTGGTGGTGACAGGCAGGCAGCCTGAGCTGAGCTGGGAACTGAGGGGAGGGCTGGGGCAGCGCCAGCATCTCCAGCTCTGACTCCCTTCCAGGGACCCTCCCAAAACCCTCCATCTGGGCCGAGCCAGGCCCTGTGGTCGCCAAGGGAAGCTCTGTGACCATCTGGTGCCAGGCGACTCGTCAGGCTGAGGTCTACCGCCTGTATAAAGATGGTGCATTTCTCAAGGAAACACGGGCCCAGCAGGACTCCACTCACAGGGCCAACTTCCTCATGGGGCCAGCAAGTTCATACAGCACAGGGCGGTACCAGTGCGACTATCAAACCTCACTCAACTTCTCCCCGGCCAGTGAGCTCCTGACCGTGGTGGTGACAGGTGAGAGGGGTTCCCCAACCACAGGGGCTCCACCTCACAGCAGGGAAACCAGCATGGGCTCCAGGGACCCCACACCCTGTGGAACATGGCTGGGGTGCAGGGGTGCCAGTGCCCCTGTGTCACGGCTCTGCCCTCCCCTCAGGGTTCTTTCCAGCACCCTCCCTGTCAGCACAGCCAAGCCCCGTGGTGGCCCTGGGAGGCACCGTGTCCCTCTCCTGCAGCTCAGATGTTCTGTCAGGCCTGTTCTATCTGCTGAAGGAGGGAGGAGCCGGCCCCATCCACAGACAGGAGTCCAGGTACTCCTATGAGAGCCGCACATGGCAGACGACCTTCCGTGTGGGGCCTGTGAACAGCACCCACGGGGGCATCTACAGGTGCTATAGTTCGCCTTACTCCACCCCTCTTTTATGGTCACTGGCCAGCAGCCCTCTGGAGCTCCAGGTCACAGGTGAGTGACCCCACGGTAATCCCAACCCAGGGAGCATGGTGGTGGCCAGGGGTCACAGCATTTGACTTATGTGTCAGGTGCCCAGGCAGCAGACACTGCTGGCCCTGGGCATTGGGTGCTGTGCATGCGCTCAAACACCCCTTCCTCTTTCCCAGGGGCTCTGAGGGAGCCCTCCCTGTCGGCCCACCCAGCCTCACTGCTGCTCCCAGGACAGAGCCTGACCCTGCGGTGTCACTGTGAGTCCAGCTGTGAGAGATTCACATTGATCCAGGGAGAGATTAATACAGCCCCTCAATAGCGCCTGGTGGGGCAGCGCAGCCCTGACTTCCCCCTGGGCCCCGTGAACAGCTCCCACGGGGGGAAGTACAGGTGCTATGGTGGTCAGGACTCCTCCATGTGGTCAGCCCCCAGCGCCCCACTGGACATCCTGGTTGCAGGTGGGAGCCCCTGCTCATCCAGGCCCATCCCCCAGGCTGAGCTCTCGGCTCGGTGGGTGGGTTTGATCCTTATTACCACTGTCTTCTCCCACAGGAATGGTCCAGAAACCATGGCTGCAGGCACAGCCGGGGCCCTCGGTGCCACAAGGAGCTGCCGTGGCCCTGCGCTGTGGCTCTGATGAGGCCTTGGACACCTTCCTCCTGCACAGGGAGGGCTCAGACACTCCTCCCCAGCGCCTGCGTGTGCAGGGCACGGCCACGCCTGCCCAGGTCACCTTCACACTGAGTCCTGTCACCTCAGCCCATGAGGGCACCTACAGGTGCTATGGCTCCCACAGCACTGACCCCTACCTGTGGTCACAGCCCAGTGACCCCCTGCAGCTCGAGGTGTCAGGTGAGTCCCAGCCCAGTGTGCTCTGTCCTCTGGCTCAGTGCTTGGCTGGACTCCTGGAGAGTTCCCTGGGGAGAGTGCCCAGATGGGATCCACCCTGTCAGGGACAGCACCAGGCTGCCCGTCCTGTTGACCCTCCTGCAACCACCCTGACCCCAGGAGAGGAGGACTCGGGGCTGAGCCCAGGGCTGAGGCCACAGGGCCTGGGCGTCCTGCGGCCCTCCCACAGAGCACCCAAGAGCAGGGAGCTGCTGCCACCTCGAGCACTATGCCAGGCTCACCCTCTGTGGCACTGGATGCAGCTGGTGGGGACCCCAGTCTTCCAACCAGCTCTGAATGTCACTATACTAGATGTGGCATTTGAATCATGTCTCATATTGTAAAGAAATAATAACTATTTATTCCTACGAAATGGTAATTAGAGAAGGAGCGTTAGGACCTGGGGCTTCTTCCTTCACTGTCCCTGCCCCCTTCTCAGGAGGAGCCCAGCCCAGCAGCCCCTCACCCCTTAGCTTCAGGGTCAGGCTGCTGCAGGGGAGGGCCGTCCCACCTCACCCCTCTCTCCTCCTGCAGCCCCCCAGCCCCAGGACCACACCGTGGAGAATCTCATCCGCTTGGGCGTGGCGGGCTTGGTCCTGCTGCTGCTCGGGCTTCTGCTGCTGGAGGCTTGGCTCAGCGCGAGGAGGACCCGGGGCACAGCAGCAGGTCACCCCGGGAGAGGACAGCACTGAAATCAGGGAGACTGTGACCACCAACCACCGCTGGATCTGATGATGTGCTGTCCCAGAGGGGCTTTGGTTTGACGCTGAGGAACCCACCCAGAGACTGTTCCCTGGGGGTGTTATGCCCCAATCCATGGCTCTGGCGTGAAAAGGTGCCCAGGGTAGCCAAGGAGGACTCCTCCCACTGACCTGTGGTCCTCTCCTGCCCTGAGCTGGGTGGCCCTTCCTTCCTGCCCCTCTCAGGTGGGAGAGCACCGCCTGCAGGCCGCCTGTGGAGCAGCACCGCCTGCCCCAGGCTGGGCTCTGGGCTCACAAAGTGTCCTGCTCTGGAATGCCCACACTCCCCAGGCTGTGTTCACCAGCTTCCGTGTTGTGGCACAGAACGGGCATCTGGGTTCAGAGAACAGAATAAAGGAGCACATCTGGGTCTCAGGCACGAATGATACATCCCACTGCACGCTGCTGCCCACTGGCTCCCTCAAGTCCTCTCTCTGTGTGGACGCTGTGGCGTCCCCAGGATCCTCCTGGATCAGGGCCCTGTGGCTGCAGGGCTGGTCGCTGGGGGCTCTGCTTGCTTGTTCTCTGAGAAGGAAGGCGTCATGCTGGCAAGCCCAGTCTGCGTGGGTGCATTGGTTGGCACCGGACATCACGGCCAGTCACAGGTGCCCATGGGAGGAGTCAGATGCAGAACCCAGAACAGATATGCAGAGCTGCCTTCACAGGGGTGGGGCAGCCAGGGTCCACCTGTCCCTCCCTGCCCGACAGCGTCCACAGTGCCCCACTGTGTGGAGGCAGTCATTGCTTGTTTCTAAGTGTGACCAACGCCAGCAGCACAGCCTGACGCCCACGCAGGAGCCAACTGACAGCTCCCTGTGCCCGAGAGCCCTGGCTGAGCCCAGCAGATTCACTGCTCTGCACCCCCACGTCAGCAAGGACCCGGAACCCTCCTCCATGCAGGGCCCTGCGGGGACCTTGGCGTGCATGAGCTGCCCCCAGCACACTGAGCTAGGACCCTGGTCAGCAGGACCGCACACACACCAGCAGGACATTGGGGAACTTGGGCACCTGTGGTTCTGTCTGTGTGGCCACAGCTCTTATCTCTATATTTAATAAGAAAACAAGAGATGTGTCACTGCCGAGTGAGAGAGCCGAGAGAGCAGAAGTGGGAGCCAGGGTGAGGGTGATGAGGATGGAAGCGTGACCTGTTCACTGTGACACGCTGTCTGACAGCCAGGAATGGCCGACCGGGAACGCAAAACTAAGAAGTATATATAAAAAAAACAGATCTCATCGCATGAACTTTTAAGAAAATGTGATGTTATTCCATGGTAATGCATCCTGAAGGAAATGTGAGAGTGGCGGCTCCGACAGGACTGACAGACAGGGACAGAAAGACCAAGGGAGGGAGCCGAGCAGGTGGGCCTGGACGCACTGACGGCCATCGCTGCTCCAACCACAGGGCCAGGAGAGAGAGAGAAGCAGGAGGCAGCAGCCAGATCCTCCAGCACAGCGTGTCGGCTCCACAGCTTGTAGCTGCAGGGACAAACTCCTCCACCGTGTCAGGGATGGGATCCATCTGTGTGTCTACACACGCGCTGCTGTGTCGCTGGGCAGTGGTGTGGCTGTGTGGACACCACCGAGGGGCCTGACACAGAGCTGGGTCAAGCTGGAAATGGCAGTCACACAGTGTTCTTCGGCCCTTCTCCCGTGCGCGCATGTCAAGGTGTGCAAACACGTGCCACTGCGTGTGAGCGCCTGTGGGAATCACAGCAGTGACCTGCTCCACAGTCTCCAGGCTCAGGGTGGGGGGCTGCTCAGAGCCCCCAGGGAGGCCGGCGCTGTCTCCCAGCTCTGTGTCAGGCCCCTCTGTGGTGTCCACACAGCCACACCACCGCTCAGCGATGCAGCAGCGACCTGCTCCACAGTCTCCAGGCTCAGGGCGGGGGGCTGCTCAGAGCCCCCAGGGAGGCCGGCGCTGTCGCCCAGCTCTGTGTCAGGCCCCTCGGTCGGTGTCAGAGGTGGCAGCTTTACCCACTATACCACAAACCTAATACCATTTGGGTCTCTTGTTTCTTTGTTTGTTTGTTTAATTTTAAAGTCAGGTATACAAAGAGGAGGAGAGACAGAGAAGATCTTCCATCTGATTATTTCACAACCCAAATGGCCACCACTGACAGAATTGTGCTAATCCGAAGCCAGGAGCCCAGAGCCTGTTCTAGGTCACCCAAACAGGTACAGGGTCCCAAGGAGGTGGGCCTTGACTGCTTTCCCAAGCGGGAAGCAGGGAGCTGGTTCAGAAATGGGGCCGATACATTTAGAACCAGTGCCCATATAGGATCCCTCCTCGTGCAAGCCAAGTTCTTTAGCAGCTAGGCTACCTCCACACCTCCTCCCCAGGGCAGGGATTCCAGCAGGGCCTGGTCACCTGCCCCATGTCCTAGGGCTCACCTCCATGGAGGCTGCTGGATGCATTAGCCAAAGTGGTGAATGGTCCAGCAGGACTCATGTTGCCTGCTCTGGGTTCTTGAGCCCAGCTGCGTGGTGGGTGCTGGGTCCATTATTCCTGTGAGGAGTCTTGGTCCCTCTAACATGATGGATACTCAGTCCGGGAGCCCCAGGGTTGGGGGTTCTAGCCAGGCCCCGGTGGTCGGGCCTGGGTGCGTGGGCCCACCTGTGAGAGCAGGTCTCCGCAGTGTAAAGGATGGAGTACAAGATGGCACACCATGGTGCACTCTCCCTGTCCCGTGTTCTCCACATGTCACCAGCCCCTGAGCAGGACAGCACCCATGGGTGCCCTGTCCCTGTCACAGGCTCTCCTGTACCCATCCCTGCCTCTTACCACATCTCTGTGGTGTCTGCCGCTTTTGCCCATCCAGCTCCCAGAGACCTGGAAGTGTCCACTCACTCCCCCACAGCTCTGGTCCCCGGCACTTGGCACCAGGTCTGTCACAGCACAGCGAAGGCAAGGGCCTGCCTCAGGCTCTCCCCAACTCTCAGGAGGAAGGGGCAGCCTCCCTGGCCTGTGCCCTGTGTGCCACTCCCAAATGCAGAAGAACCTGTGACGCTCCTCCCTCCACCCCCTCTCAGCCCTCCCTGCTGGGGCTCCAGGCCCTGTGTGCTCACAGCCGCTCTGCTCCCGGGACCATGGGCGTTGGCACCAAGACCCCAGCCCTCATCGGCCTCCTCTGCCTCGGTGAGCTGGGGACACGGGACAGTAGGAAGGCAGGGGCTCAGGGACGGCCACAGCTCCACCACACAGCTCAGAGGCACAAGGTGCAGAGTAGGCTGGCTGACAGCAAGTGGGGACAAGCTGTCACAGGACCTCTCTTGCAGGGCTGTGCTGGGGACCTTGGGACGAGGCACAGGCACAGGCAGGTGAGTGCTCCCAGCCCTGATCCTGGGCCAGCTGGGGTTGGGGAGGCCAGGACAGGGTCTGTGCTGGTGGTGACAGGCAGGCAGCCTGAGATGAGCTGGGAACTGAGGGGAGGGCTGGGGCAGTGCCAGCATCTCCAGCTCTGACTCCCTTCCAGGGACCCTCCCCAAACCCTCCATCTGGGCCGAGCCAGGCCCTGTGGTCACCAAGGGAAGCCCTGTGACCATCTGGTGCCAGGCAACTCGTCAGGCTGAGGTCTACCGCCTGTATAAAGATGGTGCATTTCTCAAGGAAACACAGGCCCAGCAGGACTCCACTCACAGGGCCGGCTTCCTCATCGGGTCAGCAAATTCAGTTAATGCAGGGCAGTACCACTGTGACTATCAGGCCGCATTCCGCATCTCCCAGCACAGTGAGCTCCTGACCGTGGTGGTGACAGGTGAGAGGGGTTCCCCAACCACAGGGGCTCCACCTCACAGCAGGGAAACCAGCATGGGCTCCAGGGACCCCACACCCTGTGGAACATGGCTGGGGTGCAGGGGTGCCAGTGCCCCTGTGTCACGGCTCTGCCCTCCCCTCAGGGCTGTTTCCGGCACCCTCCCTGTCAGCACAGCCAAGCCCTGTGGTGGCCCTGGGAGGCACCGTGTCCCTCTCCTGCAGCTCAGATGTTCTGTCAGGCCTGGCCCATCTGCTGAAGGAGGGAGGAGCCGGCCCCATCCACAGACAGGAGTCCAGGTACTCCTATGAGAGCCGCACATGGCAGACGACCTTCCGTGTGGGGCCTGTGAACAGCACCCACGGGGGCATCTACAGGTGCTATAGTTCAGCTTCCAACAACCCACTTTTGTGGTCACTGGCCAGCAGCCCCCTGGAGCTCCAGGTCACAGGTGAGTGACCCCATAGTGATCCCAGCCCAGGGAGCATGGTGGTGGCCAGGGGTCACAGCATTTGACTTATGTGTCAGGTGCCCAGGCAGCAGACACTGCTGGTCCTGGGCATTGGGTGCTGTGCATGCCCTCAAACACCCCTTCCTCTTTCCCAGGGGCTCTGAGGGAACCCTCCCTGTCGGCCCACCCAGCCTCACTGCTGCTCCCAGGACAGAGCCTGACCCTGCGGTGTCACTGCGAACCAGGCTGTGAGAGATTCGCACTGACCCATGACAAGGGGCACACAGCCCCCCCACAGCGACTGGTGGGGCAGCGCAGCCCTGACTTCCCTCTGGGCCCCGTGTACAGCTCCGTTGCAGGCCAGTACAGGTGCTACGGTGGTCGTCAGGACTCCTCCATGTGGTCAGCCCCCAGTGCCCCACTGGACATCCTGGTTGCAGGTGGGGAGCCCCTGCTCATCCAGGCCCATCCTCCTAGGCTTTGCGCTAGGCTCACAGCCCAGAGTGTTTCTGTATGGGGCTGTGGTTTTGGAGGAGGGACTCCCAGGGCACCCTCCCTGCACTGAGGGAGGAGGGTCCCCAAAATCAGGGTCCAGTGGAGTGGGCTACTCCCTGTTACCACTGTCCTCTCCAACAGGAATGTTCCAGAAACCACGGTTGCAGGCACAGCCGGGGCCCTCGGTGCCACAAGGAGCTGCCGTGGCCCTGCGCTGTGGCTCTGATGAGGCCTTGGACACCTTCCTCCTGCACAGGGAGGGCTCAGACACTCCTCCCCAGCGCCTGCGTGTGCAGGGCACGGCCACGCCTGCCCAGGTCACCTTCACACTGAGTCCTGTCACCTCAGCCCATGAGGGCACCTACAGGTGCTATGGCTCCCACAGCAATGACACCTACCTGTGGTCACACCCCAGTGACCCCCTGCAGCTCGAGGTGTCAGGTGAGTCCCAGCCCAGTGTGCTCTGTCCTCTGGCTCAGTGTTTTGGTGGCTTGGGGAATGCCCCGGGGAGGATCCCTGGGGTTAGGGCCTGTCAGGGACAGTACCAGGCTGCCTGCCCTGTTGACCCTCCTGCAACCACCCTGACCCCAGGAGAAGAGGACTCGGGGCTGAGCCCAGGGCTGAGGCCACAGGGCCTGGGCATCCTGCGGCCCTCCCACAGAGCACCCAAGAGCAGGGAGCTGCTGCATCCTCGAGCACTATGCCAGGCTCACCCTCTGTGGCACTGGGATGCAGTTGGTGGGGACCCCAGTCTTCCAACCAGCTCTGAATGTCACTATACTAGATGTGGCATTTGAATCATGTCTCATATTGTAAAGAAATAATAACTATTTATTCCTACAAAATGGTAATTAGAGAAGGAGTGTTAGGACCTGGGGCTTCTTCCTTCACTGTCCCCGCCCCCTTCTCAGGAGGAGCCCAGCCCAGCAGCCCCTCACCCCCGCAGCCGGGCTCGCCCACAGGTGATAAAGCAGCACCCTCAGCTTCAGGGCTCAGGCCGCTGCAGGGAGGGCCGTCCCACCTCACCCCTCTCTCCTCCTGCAGCCCCCCAGCCCCAGGACCACACCGTGGAGAATCTCATCCGCTTGGGCGTGGCGGGCTTGGTCCTGCTGCTGCTCGGGCTTCTGCTGCTGGAGGCTTGGCTCAGCGCGAGGAGGACCCGGGGCACAGCAGCAGGTCACCCCGGGAGAGGACAGCACTGAACTCAGGGAGACTGCGACCACCAACCACCGCTGGATCTGATGATGTGCTGTCCCAGAGGGGCTTTGGTTTGACGCTGAGGAACCCACCCAGAGACTGTTCCCTGGGGGTGTTATGCCCCAATCCATGGCTCTGGCGTGAAAAGGTGCCCAGGGTAGCCAAGGAGGACTCCTCCCACTGACCTGTGGTCCTCTCCTGCCCTGAGCTGGGTGGCCCTTCCTTCCTGCCCCTCTCAGGTGGGAGAGCACCCCCTGCAGGCCGCCTGTGGAGCAGCACCGCCTGCCCCAGGCTGGGCTCTGGGCTCACCAAGTGTCCTGCTCTGGAATGCCCACACTCCCCAGGCTGTGTTCACCAGCTTCCGTGTTGTGGCACAGAACGGGCATCTGGGTTCAGAGAACAGAATAAAGGAGCACATCCGGGTCTCAGGCTGGAACGATACATCCCACTGCACGCTGCTGCCCACTGGCTCCCTCGAGTCCTCTCTCTATGTGGACGCTGTGGCGTCCCCAGGATCCTCCTGGATCAGGGCCCTGTGGCTGCAGGGCTGGTCGCTGGCGGCTCTGCTTGCTTGTCTCTCTGAGAAGGAAGGTGTCATGCTGGCAAGCCCAGTCTGCGTGGGTGCATTGGTGGGCACCGGACATCACGGCCAGTCACAGGTGCCCATGGGAGGAGTCAGATGCAGAACCCAGAACAGATATGAAGAGCTGCCTTCACAGGGGTGGGGCAGCCAGGGTCCACCTGTCCCTCCCTGCCCGACAGCGTCCACAGTGCCCCACTGTGTGGAGGCAGTCATTGCTTGTTTCTAAGTGGGACCAACGCCAGCAGCACAGCCTGACGCCCACGCAGGAGCCAACTGACAGCTCCCTGTGCCCCGAGAGCCCTGGCTGAGCACAGCAGATTCACTGCTCTGCACCCCCACGTCAGCAAGGACCCGGAACCCTCCTCCATGCAGGGCCCTGCGGGGACCTTGGCGTGCATGAGCTGCCCCCAGCACACTGAGCTAGGACCCTGGTCAGCAGGACCGCACACACACCAGCAGGACATTGGGGAACTTGGGCACCTGTGGTTCTGTCTGTGTGGCCACAGCTCTTATCTCTATATTTAATAAGAAAACAAGAGATGTGTCACTGCCGAGTGAGAGAGCCGAGAGAGCAGAAGTGGGAGCCAGGGTGAGGGTGATGAGGATGGAAGCGTTACCTGTTCACTGTGACACGCTGTCTGACAGCCAGGAATGGCCGACCGGGAACGCAAAACTAAGAAGTATATATAAAAAAATAGATCTCATCGCATGAACTTTTGAGAAAATGTGATGTTATTCCATGGTAATGCATCCTGAAGGAAATGTGAGAGTGGCGGCTCCTACAGGACAGACAGACAGGGACAGAAAGACCAAGGGAGGGAGCCGAGCAGGTGGGCCTGGACGCACTGACGGCCATCGCTGCTCCAACCACAGGGCCAGGAGAGAGAGAAGCAGGAGGCAGCAGCCAGATCCTCCAGCACAGCGTGTCAGCTCCACAGCTTGTAGCTGAAGGGACAAACTCCTCCACCGTGTCAGGGATGGGATCCATCTGTGTGTCTACACGCACTGCTGTGTCGCTGGGCGGTGGTGTGGCTGTGTGGACACCACTGAGGGGCCTGACACAGAGCTGGGTCAAGCTGGAAATGGCAGTCACACAGTGTTCTTCGGCCCTTCTCCCGTGCGCGCATGTCAAGGTGTGCAAACACGTGCCACTGCGTGTGAGCGCCTGTGGGAATCACAGCAGTGACCTGCTCCACAGTCTCCAGGCTCAGGGCGGGGGGCTGCTCAGAGCCCCCAGGGAGGCCGGCGCTGTCACCCAGCTCTGTGTCAGGTCCCTCGGTCGGTGTCAGAGGTGGCAGCTTTACCCACTATACCACAAACCTAATACCATTTTGGTTTTTTGTTTCTTTGTTTGTTTGTTTAATTTTAAAGTCAGGTATACAAAGAGGAGGAGAGACAGAGAAGGTCTTCCATCTGATTATTTCACTCCCCAAGCGGCCACAACTGACAGAATTGTGCTAATCCGAAGCCAGGAGCCCAGAGCCTGTTCTAGGTCTCCCAAACAGGTTCAGAGTCCCAAGGAGGTGGGCCTTGACTGCTTTCCCAAGCGGCAAGCAGGGAGCTGGTTCAGAAATGGGGCCGATACATTTAGAACCAGTGCCCATATAGGATCCCTCCTCGTGCAAGCCGAGTTCTTTAGCAGCTAAACAGCCTCCACACCTCCTCCCCAGGGTAGGGATTCCAGCAGGGCCTGGTCACCTGCCCCAGGTCCTAGGGCTCACCTTCATGGAGGCTGCTGGATGCATTAGCCAAAGTGGTGAATGGTCCAGCAGGACTCATGTTGTCTGCTCTGGGTCCTTGAGCCCAGCTGCGTGGTGGGTGCTGGGTCCATTATTCCTGTGAGGTGTCGAGTGGAGTTTTAGCCACCTGGCCTGTGTTCCTGGTCCCTCTAACATGATGGATACCCAGTCCGGGAGCCCCAAGGTTGGGGTTCTAGCCAGGCCCAGGTGGTTTGGCCTGGGTACGTGGGCCCCCCTTTGAGAGCAGGTCTCTGCAGTGTAAAGGATGGAGTACTGGATGGCACACCATGGTGCACTGTCCCTGTCCCGTGTTCTCCACATGTCCTCCATTCCCTGAGCAGGACAGCACCCATGGGTGCCCTGTCCCGGTAGCAGGCTCTCCTGTACCCACTCCTGCCTCCTACCGCATCTCTGTGGCATCTGCCCCTTCTGCCCATTCAGCTCCCAGAGACCTGGAGGATTCCACTCCCTCCCTCACAGCTCTGGTCCCCGGTACTTGGCACCAGGTCTGTCCCAGCACAGCGAAGGCAAGGGCCTGCCTCAAGCTCTCCCCCACTCTCAGGAGGAAGGGGCAGCCTCCCTGGCCTGTGCCCTGTGTGCCACTCCCAAATGAGGAAGCTGTGACACTCCTCCCTCCACCCCCTCTCAGCCCTCCCTGCTGGGGCTCCAGGCCCTGTGTGCTCACAGCCGCTCTACTTCCGGGACCATGGGCGTTGGCACCAAGACCCCAGCCCTCATCGGCCTCCTCTGCCTCGGTGAGCTGGGGACACGGGACAGTAGGAAGGCAGGGGCTCAGGGACGGCCACAGCTCCACCACACAGCTCAGAGGCACAAGGTGCAGAGTAGGCTGGCTGCCAGCAAGTAGGGACAAGCTGTCACAGGACCTCTCTTGCAGGGCTGTGCTGGGGACCTTGGGACGAGGCACAGGCACAGGCAGGTGAGTGCTCCCAGCCCTGATCCTGGGCCAGCTGGGGTTGGGGAGGCCAGGACAGGGTCTGTGCTGGTGGTGACAGGCAGGCAGCCTGAGCTGAGCTGGGAACTGAGGGGAGGGCTGGGGCAGCGCCAGCATCTCCAGCTCTGACTCCCTTCCAGGGACCCTCCCAAAACCCTCCATCTGGGCCCAGCCAGGCCCTGTGGTCGCCAACGGAAGCTCTGTGACCATCTGGTGCCAGGCGACTCCTCAGGCTGAGTTCTACCACCTGTATAAAGATGGTACATTTCTCAAGGAAACACAGGCCCAGCAGGACTCCACTCACAGGGCCGGCTTCCTCATCAGGCCAGCAAACTCATACAGCGCAGGGCAGTACCAGTGCGTCTATCACACCTCCCTCGGCCTCTCCCAGGCCAGTGACCCACTGACCGTGGTGGTGACAGGTGAGAGGGGTTCCCCAACCACAGGGGCTCCACCTCACAGCAGGGAAACCAGCATGGGCTCCAGGGACCCCACACCCTGTGGAACATGGCTGGGGTGCAGGGGTGCCAGTGCCCCTGTGTCACGGCTCTGCCCTCCCCTCAGGGTTGTACAGAGCACCCTCCCTGTCAGCGCGGCCAAGCCCCGTGGTGGCCCTGGGAGGCACCGTGTCCCTCTCCTGCAGCTCAGGCTATTCGTCAGGCCTGTTCTATCTGCTGAAGGAGGGAGGAGCCGGCCCAATCCACAGACAGGAGTCCAGGTACTCCTATGAGAGCCGCACATGGCAGACGACCTTCCGTGTGGGGCCTGTGAACAGCACCCATGGGGGCATCTACAGGTGCTATAGTTCAGCTTCCTACAACCCTCTTTTGTGGTCACTGGCCAGCAGCCCCCTGGAGCTCCAGGTCACAGGTGAGTGACCCCACAGTGATCCCCACCAGGGCACAGAGAGGAAGAGGGTGGGTGGGGTGTGACCCCTGACCTATACATGAGGTGCAAAGGCAGCAGACCTTGCTGGCCCACGGCACCGAGAGCTCTATGTCCCCTTAACACCCGTTCCTCTCTCCCAGGGGTGTTCAGGGAGCCCTCTCTGTCGGCCCACCCAGCCTCACTGCTGCTCCCAGGACAGAGCCTGACCCTGCGGTGTCACTGCGAACCAGGCTGTGAGAGATTCGCGCTGACCCAGGACAAGGGGCACACAGCCCCCCCACAGCGCCTGGTGGGGCAGCACAGCCCTGACTTCCCCCTGGGCCCCGTGTACATCTCCGTTGCAGGCCAGTACAGGTGCTACGGTGGTCGTCAGGACTCCTCCATGTGGTCAGCCCCCAGTGCCCCGCTGGACATCCTGGTTGCAGGTGGGGAGCCCCTGCTCATCCCAGGTCCATCACAAAAAGCCTGGTTCAGGCCACGCCCTGGGAAATGCAAGCCCAGAACTGGGCCAGGTGGAGCTTTGGTCCTGGCAGAGGGACTCCCAGGACACCCCCTGCACTGAGGGATGAGGTTCCCCCACTTCAGGGTCCATTGGAGTGGGCTACTCTCCATTACCACTGTCTTCTCCAACAGGAATGTTCCAGAAACCCTGGCTACAGGAACAGCCGGGGCCCTCGGTGCCACAAGGAGCTGCCGTGGCCCTGCGCTGTGGCTCTGATGAGGCCTTGGACACCTTCCTCCTGCACAGGGAGGGCTCAGACACTCCTCCCCAGCGCCTGCGTGTGCAGGGCACTGACACGCCTGCCCAGGTCACCTTCACACTGAGTCCTGTCACCTCAGCCCATGAGGGCACCTACAGGTGCTATGGCTCCCACAGCAGTGACCCCTACCTGTGGTCATACCCCAGTGACCCCCTGCAGCTCGAGGTGTCAGGTGAGTCCCAGCCCAGTGTGCTCTGTCCTCTGGCTCAGTATTTTGGTGGCTTGGGGAATGCCTTGGGGAGGATCCCTGAGGTCTAGGGCCTGTCAGGGACAGCACCAGGCTGCGCTCCTTGTTGACCTTCCTGCAGCCACCATGAACCCAGGAGGGGAGGACTCGGGGATGACATCAGGGCTGAGGCCTCAGGGCCTGGCTCTCCTACAGCCCTCCCACAGAGCACCCAAGAGCAGGGAGCTGCTGCCACCTCGTCATCGTGCCAGGCTCACCCTCTGTGGCACTGGGGTGCAGCTGGTGGGGACCCCATTGTTCTAGAGGCCCAGGGAGTAAACTGGTTGAGGGCTGGCCTGCTGCAGAGTGTGGTGCTGGGGCCTGGCACGGGGGGGAGTCCCAGGCAGGAATAGGATCAGGACTGGCCCAACCCTACTGTCTTGTGCCCATCCATGAGGCCCTGAGGATCCACTGCTCAGTGCCACAGTGTCAGCCCCCGGAGTGGTGGGTGGGGGCTCTGCTGGGTGCGGATGGAGGGGCTCCCAGGCTGGTCCTGGCTCACTCCTCCCTCCTGTGGAAGTGCCCATCTGTTCCCTGGCCCCTCTCTCCACTGCACATGGGATCAGCCACTCCGTTGAGCTCAGGGAGGACCCAGGAAGGCCTCCTATGGCACCTGGGCAGCAGCTCAACACACAATGGCAGCTAGAGGGCTACCTGGGTTTAGGTGGGCAGCGCTGGAGGCAGAGGACACCGGGTTTTGTGAATGCACAGCTGGAGTGCCTACCCTGTGTGCTGGGGCCCTAGACCTTCCCCACACACTTCCAGTACACTCAGACATCAGGCATGGATGGCCCCCAGTCCTGGGTCACCCCAGCCCTGCTTCACCATCACCCTAGGCCACCACACGCCTTTGTCAGCCTGTCCTGGTCACCACTGCCCAGAATCATTGCACCCATGGGCCACACCTCCTGCTCTAGTCCTGGGGCGCTGACTCCTTAGGCCGTGGCGATGGGTGAGCAGGGGTGTCCTGGTGTTCCATCTGCAGGGTCACTCCCAAATGGCCGCTGAGGCTGAGGCTGGGCCGTGTCGAAGCCAGGAGCCCATAGGGTGTTATGCGTGCAGTGGCCCATTAGCAGGGACCAGAATTGGACGTGGAGCGGGCAGGACTTGAACTGGCACTCCAGGAGGCTGTCACTGTCAGAGGTGGCAGCCTCACCCACTATGCCACAACCATGACCCCATTGAGCCCACAAGGAGCAGGTGGCACCAGAACAGAGGCTGGCCTGGGGCACCACGTCCACCGCACGGGAAGCTACTGTAGACACTCTCCTGCCGTTTCTCTCCCATTGCTCTCTGATTTAACACGGAATTCACACCCACGGCAGACAAGGGGGGTTTCCCGTCACCACGTCCACGTGCGTTGCCCCTTTGTCTCCTTTCCGATGGGACACGTCGGCAGCTGCTTACACACTCGGTGTCCGAGCCGTCTGCGTGCCGTGTCTGTGTTGACCACACCAGGAGACATGCGCTGACCTCACTAGACCTTCCCCCACGCTTCCCCTTGCTCACTGTGTGCTGCTTCTCACGCACACGTGCACTTTGTGTCCCACGTGGCCACGGCAGCACGGGGTCTCCGTGTGTGAGTGTCCCGTTGCGGAGCCTCTAAGCACAGGAAGGATCAGTGGCTCAGAGATCAAGGGAGGTGGAGAGATGGGCGCTGTGGTGTAGGGGGTCAAGCTGCTGCCTGCCACAGCGCCATGCCATGTGGGTGACGGCCCAGGCCAGGGTTCCACTTGTCCCTGCTAAGGAGCCTGGGAAAGCACGCAGCATGGTCCTAGTACCTGGGCCCCGCAGCCACGTGGGAGACCCTGACGCAGCTCCTGGCTTCTGGTTTTGTTCTGCTGTGGCCATGGCTGTTGTGGTCACTGGGGAGGAAATAGCAGATGCAAATGCATTTTCTCTCAATTTCTTAGACTGTAACTCTGTCATTCACATAAAATCACAATGAAAAAAAAAAAAAAACAGAAAGCGTTAGATGGAGCAGAAGTTGCACCATCCTGGTGTGGGGCACCTCTCTGTGCTCCTGCCACTGAGCAGCAACTCTCCTCACCGTGGCCATGGGCCCTCTCCTGGGGTGGGGTCAGCCTCAGTGCTCCTAGGGGGAGGACTTTGGGATCATCCACTCACCATCCCCTCCCCCTTCTCAGGAGCAACCCAGCCCAGCAGCCCCTCACCCCCGCACCCGGGCTCGCCCACAGGTGAGTAAGCAGCACCCTCAGCTTCAGGGCTCAGGCCGCTGCAGGGGAGTGCCGTCCCACCTCACCCCTCTCTCCTCCTGCAGCCCCCCAGCCCCAGGACCACACCGTGGAGAATCTCATCCGCTTGGGCGTGGCGGGCTTGGTCCTGCTGCTGCTCGGGCTTCTGCTGCTGGAGGCTTGGCTCAGCGCGAGGAGGACCCGGGGCACAGCAGCAGGTCACCCCGGGAGAGGACAGCACTGAACTCAGGGAGACTGCGACCACCAACCACCGCTGGATCTGATGATGTGCTGTCCCAGAGGGGCTTTGGTTTGACACTGAGGAACCCACCCAGAGACTGTTCCCTGGGGGTGTTATGCCCCAATCCATGGCTCAGGCGTGGGAAGGTGCCCAGGGTAGCCAAGGAGGACTCCTCCCACTGACCTGTGGTCCTCTCCTGCCCTGAGCTGGGTGGCCCTTCCTTCCTGCCCCTCTCAGGTGGGAGAGCACCCCCTGCAGGCCGCCTGTGGAGCAGCACCGCCTGCCCCAGGCTGGGCTCTGGGCTCACCAAGTGTCCTGCTCTGGAATGCCCACACTCCCCAGGCTGTGTTCACCAGCTTCCGTGTTGTGGCACAGAACGGGCATCTGGGTTCACAGAACAGAATAAAGGAGCACATCCTGGTCTCAGGCACGAATGATACATCCCACTGCACGCTGCTGCCCACTGGCTCCCTCGAGTCCTCTCTCTGTGTGGACGCTGTGGCGTCCCCAGGATCCTCCTGGATCAGGGCCCTGTGGCTGCAGGGCTGGTCGCTGGGGTCTCTGCTTGCTTGTCTCTCTGAGAAGGAAGGCGTCATGCTGGCAAGCCCAGTCTGCGTGGGTGCATTGGTGGGCACCAGACATCACGGCCAGTCACAGGTGCCCATGGGAGGAGTCAGATGCAGAACCCAGAACAGATATGAAGAGCTGCCTTCACAGGGGTGGGGCAGCCAGGGTCCACCTGTCCCTCCCTGCCCGACAGCGTCCACAGTGCCCCACTGTGTGGAGGCAGTCATTGCTTGTTTCTAAGTGTGACCAACACCAGCAGCACAGCCTGACGCCCACGCAGGAGCCAACTGACAGCTCCCTGTGCCCCGAGAGACCTGGCTGAGCCCAGCAGATTCACTGCTCTGCACCCCCAGGTCAGCAAGGACCCGGAACCCTCCTCCATGCAGGGCCCTGCGGGGACCTTGGCGTGCATGAGCTGCCCCCAGCACACTGAGCTAGGACCCTGGTCAGCAGGACCGCACACACACCAGCAGGACATTGGGGAACTTGGGCACCTGTGGTTCTGTCTGTGTGGCCACAGCTCTTATCTCTATATTTAATAAGAAAACAAGAGATGTGTCACTGCCGAGTGAGAGAGCCGAGAGAGCAGAAGTGGGAGCCAGGGTGAGGGTGATGAGGATGGAAGCGTGACCTGTTCACTGTGACACTGTGACACGCTGTCTGACAGCCAGGAATGGCCGACCGGGAACGCAAAACTAAGAAATATATAAAAAAAAAAAAAATAGATCTCATTGCAAGAATTTTAAAATGAAAGTGATGTTATTCCATCCGAGGGTATCCTGAAGGAAATGTGAGAGTGGCGGCTCCTACAGGACAGACAGACAGGGACAGAAAGACCAAGGGAGGGAGCCGAGCAGGTGGGCCTGGACGCACTGACGCCCATCGCTGCTCCAACCACAGGGCCAGGAGAGAGAGAAGCAGGAGGCAGCAGCCAGATCCTCCAGCACAGCGTGTCGGCTCCACAGCTTGTAGCTGCAGGGACAAACTCCTCCACCGTGTCAGGGATGGGATCCATCTGTGTGTCTACACACGCACTGCTGTGTCGCTGGGCGGTGGTGTGGCTGTGTGGACACCACCGAGGGGCCTGACACAGAGCTGGGTCAAGCTGGAAGTGGCAGTCACACAGTGTTCTTCGGCCCTTCTCCCGTGCGCACATGTCAAGGTGTGCAAACACGTGCCACTGCGTGTGAGCACCTGTGGGAATCACAGCAGTGACCTGCTCCACAGTCTCCAGGCTCAGGGCGGGGGCTGCTCAGAGCCCCCTGGTCGGCCGGCACTGTCTCCCAGCTCTGTGTCAGGCCCCTCGGTGGTGTCAGAGGTGGCAGCTTTACCCACTATACCACAAACCTAATACCATTTTGGTTTTTTGTTTCTCTGTTTGTTTTGTTTAATTTTAAAGTCAGGTATACAAAGAGGAGGAGAGACAGAGAAGATCTTCCATCTGATTATTTCACTCCCCAAGCGGCCACAACTGACAGATTTGTGCTAATCCAAAGCCAGGAGCCCAGAGCCTGTTCTAGGTCTCCCAAACAGGTACAGGGTCCCAAGGAGGTGGGCCTTGACTGCTTTCCCAAGCGGGAAGCAGGGAGCTGGTTCAGAAATGGGGCCGATGGGCCCGGCGCGGTGGCGCAAGAGGTTAAGGTCCTCGCCTTGCACGCCCGGGATCCCATATGGGCGCTGGTTCTAATCCCGGCAGCCCCGCTTCCCTTCCAGCTCCCTGCCTGTGGCCTGGGAAAGCAGTCGAGGACGGCCCAAAGGTTTGGGACCCTACACCCGCGTGGGAGACCCAGAGGAGGCTCCTGGCTTCCGATCGGCATAGCATCGTCCGTTGCGCTCACTTGGGGAGTGAATCATCGGACGGAAGATCTTTCTCTCTGTCTCTCCTCTCTGTATATCCCCCTTTCCAATGAAAAAATAATAAAAATAAATCTTAAAAAAAAAAAAAAGAAATGGGGCTGATACATTTGGAACCAGTGCCCATATAGGATCCCTCCTCGTGCAAGCCGAGTTCTTTAGCAGCTAGGCAACCTCCACACCTCCTCCCCAGGGCAGGGATTCCAGCAGGGCCTGGTCACCTGCCCCATGTCCTAGGGCTCACCTCCATGGAGGCTGCTGGATGCATTAGCCAAAGTGGTGAATGGTCCAGCAGTGCTCATGTTGTCTGCTCTGGGTCCTTGAGCCCACCTGCGTGGTGGGTGCTGGGTCCATTATTCCTGTGAGGAGTCTTGGTCCCTCTACCATGATGGATACCCAGTCCAGGAGCCCTAGGGTTGGGTGTTTGAGCCAGGCTCAGGTGGTCTGGCCTGGGTGCGTGGGCCCACCTGTGAGAGCAGGTCTCCGCAGTGTAAAGGATGGAGTACAGGATGGCACACCATGGTGCACTCTCCCTGTCCCGTGTTCTTCTCCACATGTCCTCCAGCCCCTGAGCAGGACAGCACCCATGGGTGCCCTGTCCCTGTCACAGGCTCTCCTGCACCCACTCCTGCCTCTTACCGCATCTCTGTGGTGTCTGCCCCTTCTGCCCATCCAGCTCCCAGAGCCCTGGAAGTGTCCACTCACTCCTTCCCCAAAGCTCAGGTCCCCAATCTCTAACACCAGGTCTGTCCCTGCCTCAGGCTCTCCCCCACTCTGAGGAGGAAGGGGCAGCCTCCCTGGCCTGTGACCTGTGTGTGACTCCCAAAAGAGGAACCTGTGACGCTCCTCCCTCCACCCCCTCTCAGCCCTCCCTGCTGGGGCTCCAGGCCCTGTGTGCTCACAGCCGCTCTGCTCCCGGGACCATGGGCGTTGGCACCAAGACCCCAGCCCTCATCGGCCTCCTCTGCTTCGGTGAGCTGGGGACACGGGACAGTAGGAAGGCAGGGGCTCAGGGACGGCCACAGCTCCACCACACAGCTCAGAGGCACAAGGTGCAGAGTAGGCCGGCTGACAGCAAGTGGGGACAAGCTGTCACAGGACCTCTCTTGCAGGGCTGTGCTGGGGACCTTGGGACGAGGCACAGGCACAGGCAGGTGAGTGCTCCCAGCCCTGATCCTGGGCCAGCTGGGGTTGGGGAGGCCAGGACAGGGTCTGTGCTGGTGGTGACAGGCAGGCAACTGGGAACTGAGGGGGGGCTGGGGCAGCGCCAGCATCTCCAGCTCTGACTCCCTTCCAGGGACCCTCCCCAAACCCTCCATCTGGGCCGAGCCAGGCCCTGTGGTCGCCAAGGGAAGCTCTGTGACCATCTGGTGCCAGGCAACTCCTCAGGCTGAGGTCTACCGCCTGTTTAAAGATGGTGCATTTCTCAAGGAAACACGGGCCCAGCAGGACTCCACTCACAGGGCCGGCTTCCTCATCAGGCCAGCAAACTCATACAGCGCAGGGCAGTACCAGTGCGACTATCAAACCTCCCTCCGCCTCTCCCATGCCAGTGAGCTCCTGACCGTGGCGGTGACAGGTGAGAGGGGTTCCCCAACCACAGGGGCTCCACCTCACAGCAGGGAAACCAGCATGGGCTCCAGGGACTCCATACACTGTGGAACATGGCTGGGGTGCAGGGGTGCCAGTGCCCCTGTGTCACGGCTCTGCCCTCCCCTCAGGATTGTACAGAGCACCCTCCCTGTCAGCGCAGCCAAGCCCCGTGGTGGCCCTGGGAGGCACCGTGTCCCTCTCCTGCAGCTCAGATGTTCTGTCAGGCCCGGCCCATCTGCTGAAGGAGGGAGGAGCCGGCCTCATCCACAGACAGGAGTCCAGGTACTCCTATGAGAGCCGCACATGGCAGACGACCTTCCGTGTGGGTCCTGTGAACAGCACCCACGGGGGCATCTACAGGTGCTATAGTTCAGCTTCCAACAACCCACTTGTGTGGTCACTGGCCAGCAGCCCCCTGGAGCTCCAGGTCACAGGTGAGTGACCCCATAGTGATCCCAGCCCAGGGTTAAGGGAGGTTGAGGGTGGGGAGGTGTCATGACCTCTGACCAGTGGTCAGGTGCACACTGCTGGTCCTGGGCATTGGGTGCTGTGCATGCCCTCAAACACCCCTTCCTCTCTCCCAGGGGTGCTCAGGAAGCCCTCCCTGTCAGCCCACCCAGCCTCGCCGCTCTCGCTCCCAGGAAAGAGCCTGACCCTGCGGTGTCACTGTGAGTCCAGCTGTGAGAGATTCGCTCTGACCCAGGACAAGTGGCACACAGCCCCCCCACAGCGCCTGGTGGGGCAGCACAGCCCTGACTTCCCCCTGGGCCCCGTGAGCAGCTCCGTTGCAGGCCAGTACAGGTGCTACGGTGGTCGTCAGGACTCCTCCATGTGGTCAGCCCCCAGCGCCGCACTGGACGTCCTGGTTGCAGGTGGGGAGCCCCTGCTTATCCCAGGCCCATTCCCATAGGCTGAGCTCAGAGTCCCGTGGGTGGGGCTGATCCTTGCTACTGCTGTGCTTTCCCCCAGGAATGTTCCAGAAACCTCGGTTGCAGGCACAGCCGGGTCCCTCGGTGCCACAAGGAGCTGCCGTGGCCCTGCGCTGTGGCTCTGATGAGGCCTTGGACACCTTCCTCCTGCACAGGGAGGGCTCAGACACTCCTCCCCAGCGCCTGCGTGTGCAGGGCACGGCCACGCCTGCCCAGGTCACGTTCACACTGAGCCCTGTCACCTCAGCCCATGAGGGCACCTACAGGTGCTATGGCTCCCACAGCAGTGACCCCTACCTGTGGTCACACCCCAGTGACCCCCTGCAGCTCGAGGTGTCAGGTGAGTCCCAGCCCAGTGTGCCCTGTCCTCTGGCTCAGTGCTGGGCTGGTTTGGGAAGGGTTCCTGGGCAGGGTCAGCAGAGTCCTTGGGCCTGAGGGACAGCACCAGCATGCTCACCCTGCTGCTGCCCTGAGCCCAGGAGACTTGTGGTTGACCCTGAGGGCTGAAGGCATAGGCCTTGGCCCTCCCACAGAGGACCCAGCTCCTGCCACTTTGACCTCCAGCCCAGGCTCACCCTCTGTGGCACTGTAGGTGCAGTTTGTGGGGATCCCAGGTTTCCAGAGTGCTGAGTCAGAGGGACGTGCTGGGGCCTGTCCCGGGGGAGGTGCCGCTGGCTGGCTGATGTGGGGACAGGGCCGCTTCAGCACTCTTGTCCTTTCCCCGCCCCAGGAGGCCCCAAGGGTTCCCTGCCCAGTCCCACAGATCCAGACCCCAGGAGTGGTGAGTGGGGGCTATGTTGGCAGTGTGCTCAGGCTGTGTGGGCTCCGCTCTCCTTGAGTTGGTAATTTGGGAAGGTCTTATTTTCTCCATGGGTCCTTTCTCCACCTGCTGCTGAAAGCATCCAATTGGTTGGGCTCAAAGGAGACAAGGAAAACCTCCCTTGGCCCCTGGGCAGCAGCTCAGCCCACAGTAGGGACCAAAGCTTGAGAGTGGGGAGTCCATGAACTGGGGTTCACCATGCTGACACCAGGGGCACTGGGTATGGTGCACGCTCTTCTGGGGTGCTGCCCCTAGTGCAGGATCGCCATGCACACACAGGTTTCTGCTGCTCACCCCCTCCCTGGGTCATGGCTCCTGCTCCTGGGGTGGCGGCTCCTGGGCCTCGAGTTCCAGACTGGGCGATAAGTGAGCAGGGGTGGCTCTCATGGGTGATGGTGAGGGCAGTGGCCCTGGCACCCAGCAGGTGCTGCATCAACTTTCCCTAACGCTGACCTCATTGCACCCAAGGTCTGCTCCATCCCCTCAAGATCCTGCTCGGGGTCTCAGTAGTCTCCTTTCTGCTGCTCTGCCTCTTCCTGCTCCTCCTCTTCGTCTTCATCCGAAAGCGCCATCACCGCCAACACAAGTCAGGTGAGCAGAGCCCATGGGGAGGCCGTTCAGGAGGCTCAGGGCTGCGTCCCCAGGGGTGCACGGCTAGGGCCCGCTCACCTCAGCTCCAGGTGACCAGGGTTACCTCACACCCCACCCAGCCTTAGCTCCTCATTCTGCAGGGGATGGAGGGAAGGGTCCACGGGGGGCAGGCTCTGTGCCACATCCCCAGGGGGACAGGTCCAGTGTATGCTCTCCTCAGCTCACACACCCTCCCCAGCCTTAGCTCCTCAGCTCCAGGTGACCAGGGTTACCTCACACCCTCCCCAGCCTTAGCTCCTCATTCTGCAGGGGATGGAGGGAAGGGTCCACGGGGGGCAGGCTATGTGCCACACCCCCAGGGGCACACGTCCAGTGTATGCTCTCCTCAGCTCACACACCCTCCCCAGCCCTAGCTCCTCATGCTGAGGGGGGGTAGGAGGGATCCAGGGGTCTCCACGGGGGCGGGGTCTGACTGCTCACTTTCCTTCAGGAGCAGAGCCCAGGCACCAAGCACTGCCCAAGAGGTAACACCTGTCCCTTGCCCTGACGCCCTCTGCGGCCCCACAAGGCCCCTAACGCACTCCTGTCTGTTCCCCCAGCGCCAGCCCAGCCGCTGAAGCCCAGGAAAGCTTGTGTAAGGGGCGTGGGAGGGGTGGGGCTCGGGCCAGAGGTGGGTGGCAGTGGGGCGGGGAGTCCTGGCTCAGGAATGGACACACCAACCTGCCACTGCATGGCCTTGGTCAAACCAGCGACCCTCTGGACCCCCCAGATGCTGCTGTGACGCCCACAGAAGCTGAGGAAATGCAGCTGGACATTCAGGTGAGCCTGCGACCTGCCAGGGGCCTGTCCACCCCACTGACCCCTGCAGGGGGACCCAACAGTGCGACTCAGCCCTGGTTCCCAATTGCAGCTTGCCCAGCCCCGTGACTGACAGCAAGAAAGGCTGCCTACCCCCTCTTCCCATTTGCTCCTTTCTGCCAACTGCCCACTTCCGTTTCCAAGCCTCCCACGGCCCAACATAACCACACCCCAATCCACCTCACAGCCCTCCTCCTGTACACCCCACATTCCTCTCCGCAAGGCCCTGGGCCCCTCCCACCCGCAGAGGGTCCCAATAGCACCCTCTCTGCAGGAGTGGGACCCTCCCACCCACACCCCTTCCCCCCTCCTGTGCTGCAGGTTGCTGAAGGCCTGCAGGAGGTGACCTACGCCGAGCTCAGTCACGGGGCATCCCAACAGACGGCCACCTCGCCCCTCCCACAGGAGCCCAGCACATATGCAGCCCTGGCAGTCCACCAGCCTGGTACTGTCCCAGGGGACCAACTGGGCTGCCCCCACCCTGCGGCCAGTCTGAGGTAACCCAGATGCTTCAGGAGCCCCAGGAACCCCACAGGGCCACTGACCTTAGGACTGGTGACTGGAACCAACAGCCACCTCGGACCGAGCCTTTGCACACTTCACAGCAAACCAGCACCCAGCCTGGGGACCTAACTACATCTCAAAGGCCCAGGGACCCATAGGGGTCACAGGGAGAGTGGCTACCCTGTCCCCTCCCCTCTAACTTCCAGTAAGGGGAAGGGAAAGCCTTCCCCTCCTGACAGTGTGTCAGCAAACCCTGAAGGCATGAAATGACTTCCCCAATGGCCACCTGCCCCTCCCCCAAGCTGGGCACTCCAGGCCAGTGTGGCCCATGTCCAGTGCCCACATCCTGTCAGCTAATGCTGGGCTGGTCCACTTCGTACCCAGCTGCTCGGGCCCCTCCCTGCCAGCCCAGGGAGAGCTGCAGCTCCTGGCTTCTGCCTGGCCCAGCCCATCACGGCCATCTGGGGAGCGAGGCTGCAGTGCCAGCATGTCACTGTGGGCCCCCAACTTTCCTCCTGCCAGGGAGCAGGAGCATGCAGGGGTGGGCAGGGCTACCTCCTCACCCAGCAGCTGGCAAGGACACCTGGGACCAAGTGCAGGACGAGTGACCCGGAGCCAGAGGCGGTGGGCCCCATCTCACTCCCAAGAGTGGAGCAGTGCTGACCCCTTGGTGGAGGTGCCCGCCCTGGGGGTCGCTTTGCCTAATAAACCTCTCTTCTCACTGGCTGATGTGCTCTTACTCCATCCAAGCCATGGCCCGTTGCTTCCCTGGGGGCGCCCCACAGGGACTGGGGACCTGCCAGACACCGGCCACTACAAAATCGGACACCACACTCCACTGTGGAACCTGCTTTATTATCAGTGTGGAACAGGGGCCAGGAGGCTCAATCCTCCTCCTCGTCGTCGCCAGCCCCCGCCCCGCCCTGGCCCTTCTTGGCGTTCTTCCTCTTCACGCGGCCCGGGCGGCCGCCGCCGTACGGGGAGCGCAGCGAGAAGTCGATGTGCTTCTGCGAGTCGAGGCGCACGATGAAGGACGGGATGTTCACCACCTGCTTGCGGACCCTGGGGAGGACAGGGGGTGAAGGGACCCCAACAGCTGGGAGGGCTCACCCACTCTGAGAACTGGGATCTGACCCCACCAGCACCGAGCCCTGTAGCTGGGCCAGGGCACACAGGCAGCAGCACCCCATTCTACATGGGGTCCCCCACGGTGCCCGCTCTGCTGCAGGCTGGACTCTCCAAGGTCAGCCCTGACAGCCGGCCTCCTGGCCCCTCACACCATCCCCGCGGACAGATGTTACCTGTGCAGCTGCCGCGTGCGGGCAGGGCCTTCGCAAGGTGTACGGCGCACGCCGCAGTGACCCTTGCGCCGGGCTAAGGGGGCCAGGCTGCCCCCGCTCCCCAGGGGCTGTGTGCAGGGGCCTCTGCACCCTCAGGGTGAGCCCACACCTATCCTGTCCGGGGGCTGCACAGGAGACAGGGACGGCAGGCTCGGTGAGGCCACCGCCAGTGGGACCAGCGAGGGCCCCGGGCCACGCGAGGGGCGCCCGCAGCGGTACCTGATGTGGCGCTGGCGGATGAGCACGCGGGCGTGGTGGATGGACTTGGCCAGGCCCAGCTTGAAGACCTGAGTCTGCAGCCGCCGCTCCAGGAAGTCCTCGATCTTCAGGCCCAGGATGTAGTCCAGCTTCATCTTGCCCTCGTCCAGCACGCCGATGCGCACCAGCCGCCGCAGCAGGGCATTGCCTGGGGACAGCAGAGGCGTGCTCGAACCCGGCCCACGGGGCCAGATCTCTGCCAGGGGCACCCACACCCTTTGCTGGAGTGCTTGGGCCCGAGTCCTATAGATGCAGGGACCCCTATATCTAATCAACTCAAACCCTCCGCCTCTGCAGACACCAGAAAGCCCCGGGCAAGACGGGTCATGCTGGTGCAGCAAACGATGTGGGCATTGGCAACAGTTAAAGTCCTGCGTGGGCATCGCACGGGAAGGCAGCTGAGCCAGGCGGGGAAACAGCCGACATGGGACACGCACGCCCTTCCCAAGGCCCAGAAAGGAGCTCGGCAGCCTCCAGGCGCAGAAGCCGGGAGGGGCGGCACGGTGGGTTTATCCCGGGGACCCTCAGGGCGCCCGCCACCCTGGGCACACTGCCTTCCAGCCCAGGCGCCTGCTGGTTCACCCCTTGCTGGCACCGCCCGCCCGCCCGCCGCGCACACCCTCAAACAGCCGCCGCGGGTCCTTCTCGTCCAGCGTCAGCAACTCCCGCGCAGCCTTGCGGATCTTGGCCAGGGTGAACTTGACCCTCCAAACCTCGCGCTTGTTGCGCAGCCCATACTCGCCTGCGTAGGTGGTGGGAATGGGGGGTCAGTGCTGGGCGGGAGGGGAGAGGTGGGCACGCGGCCCCAGGATGTCTCCCCACGACCCCTGGACACCTGCCCTGACCCCGGGATGCCTCCCTGTGACCCCGCGAGCTCCACAGCGGGTGGGACAGTGACCCCAGGATGCCTCCCCCGACCCGTGACCCCGGGAGCCCCCAGCACGTGGGTGAACCCAGGCTGCGTCCCCATGACCCCTGGACACCTCCGCCAGACCCCGCGAGCTCCAATCTCCCAGCAGGTGGGACAGTGACCCCCAGGATGCCTCTCGAGATGCCTCCCCATGACCCGGGAGCCCCCAGCACGTGGGACAGCGACCCCAGGACACCTCCCCCGACCGCGGGAGCTCCACACTCCCAGCACGTGGGAAGGTGACCCCAGGACGCCTCCCCCCGACCCCCCGACCCCAGGCCAGCTCACCGATCAGCTTCAGCTCCTGGTCGAGGCGGGACTTCTCGAAGGGTCTCCGCGGGGTCACGTACGTCTTACGACAAACCCAGCTCCGGGCCACCGGCATGTTGGCTCGGCCTGGCGATCCGCGCCTGCGCAAGAGGGAAGGTCGTCACGGGGGTCACGAGGTCTCGCTCTCATCGCGCGTGGCCAGGGCCGTTCTCGCGAGAACCTGCCCCGAGGCGTCCAGACCGCCACTCCACAACCAAGTGCGTGTCCCGGCCATCCGTCTCCATCCGCGCCTTCCTCTGGCGGACGCGGGAAGGAGACGGAGGCCGGCTACACCGCAGACCGTCCCCTGCACGCCCGGCCCCCGCACCCGGCACGGAGAGCACGCAACCCCGACCCACCTAAAGCAAAGATGCCGTCAGCGCCAAAGAGAGGCCCGGAAACGCCCTCGCCGCCTTCTTATAGCGGCTCCGCCCACGGGCGGCGTCATCACGCACGGCGCGCGCCTCCGCCAATCAGGCCAAAGGGCAGTGGAGACGCGAGCTGGGCTAGAGCGCCGCGCCGAGCGGGAGGACTTGACGGGGATCGGCCAAGAGCCGGGGGAAGGGGGACGAGACCCTGAGGGGAACAGGGGCGGCCCTGAGGGGGAGCAATGGGACGGCCCTGAGGGGGAGCGGGGCGAGACCCTGAGGGAACGGGACGGCCTTGAGGGAACGGGGCGGCCCTGAGGGATAGTGGGGCAGCCATGAGGGGGAACGGGCAGCCACGAAGAGCAATGGGGCGAGACCCTGAGGCGAACAGGGCGGCCCTAACGAGGAGCAATGGGGCGGCCCTGAGGGGAGCGGGGGGACCCTGAGGGGCGCAATGGGGCGGCCCAGAGGGGAGCGGGCGAGGCAGCCTGCGGGTCCGGGTCCGGGTCCGGGTCCGGGCGGCGGCCCTGCCCTGGCTGTCTCCGTCCCCTGTAGACTTGTGCGTCCGAGACCCGGCAGGCCCGCGGGAAATGAAATGGGCACGTTCAGTCAGATCTGTTCCACGCGAAGCCGCCCCGTGAGGGCGGACCGGGACGAATGTTCGCGAATGTTCGAGGCTCTCGCCCCGGCCCGACCACCCCCTCACCTCCTACCCAGCCAGGCTCGGGCCCCGAGCGCCGCGGCTGGGTCAGCAGCCAGGGATGCAGTGTGGGCATCCATCGTCCACTTGCGCAGCACCCCTGATTCGCCCCTGACCCGGAAAATCCACTCAGTGAAGTCGCTGAGCCCAGGGACAGTGCCCCCGGAAGCTGTCAGACAGACAGAGCAGGCTGTCAGACCTCTCTACCGGTGCTCAGGAAATTTTTGTGCTGTTTTGCTTTTTATTGGAAAGGCAGATATATAAAAGAGATGCAGAAAGATGTTGCATCTGTTGATTCACTCCCCAAATGGCCGCTACGGCCAGAGCTGAGCTGATGGAAAGCCAAGAGCTCCATCCGGGTCTCCCACGCGGGTGCAGGGTCCCAAGGCTTTGGGCCGTCCTCCACTGCTTTCCCAGGCCACAGGCAGGGAGCTGGGTGGGAACTGGAGCAGCCAGGACACAAACCCATGCCCATATGGGATCCCGGCGCCTGCAAGGGGAGGACTGGCCAATTGAGCCAGCACGCCACATCCTCAGTCACTTAAAAAAAAATGGTAGAGCAAGGGGCCAGCGTGATTTCAAACATCGTCTGTATCAAAATAAAACCTTCCACTTTTCACTCCCTTCTCTTCACCAACTTTTTGAACTGCCCTTAGGATGGATGTGATATGGAGCAAGGAATTGAGTTCCAAATGTCACGCAGCCTATGCCACGTGACCATAGTTTAAGGACATTTGCTGCCCAGCAACAGGGAATCTGAGTGGCTGAAGCTCGCAGACGCCTGTCCCAGGACGGGGATGCTGCGTGAACGGGGCGGCAGTGCAGCAAAAGGCCAACCTCAGCCGGAAGCCACCCGGCCCAGCGGGCCACGGGTGAGCGCGCAGCAGTGTGCCCCGGAAGCAGCAGCGCCCAGTGCAGCACACGCGTGAACGGCCCCTGCACGTGGAGGGAGGCCTGTGGGTGCTGTGGACAGAAAGGGCCCCGTTCACTGTGTGGGGCGCAGAGGGGACGGCTGCCACCAGCAAGCCAGCTCCCGAATGAGCACCAGTTCCAGTCCCGGCTGTTCCACTTCTGAAACCGGAGGATGCACCTGGGTCCCCGCCGTCCGTGTGGCAGACCCGGCATGGCCCTGGGTCCCGCCATCCGCGTGGCCGACCCAGCACGGCCCTGGCCCTGGGTCCCCACTGTCCACGTGGCAGACCCGGCACGGCCCTGGCCCTGGCCCGGCTCTCCCCCGGGTCTTTGAGGCCTGTGTGGGAGCCACTCTGCATGTGAAATAGAATGAATGCATCTTGAAGCGCGAGCCCAGCTGGCTGCGCGGCCCTGGGTCTGCCGAGAAGGCACTGACTGCGCACCGCGGATCAGTGGACCTGCGTGAGAACGGGGATCCCCAGAGCACAGTGTGGACACGTGTTACAGAAAAGCGTGGATTTCAAACTCCTCAATGCTGTCCTTCCGCTAAGCTGCTGAAGGACCCTCGTATAAATGCCTCGGCTTTCGTAAAAACTGCAGACGATCACATGTTTCAAAGCTGAGGAGCAGTGCATGTTCAAAGAATTAACATGTGGGGCTAGGGACCCGGTGGCGTGGCCTAGGGGCTAAAGTCCTCGCCTTGAATGCACTGGGATCCCATATGGGCGCTGGTTCTAATCCCAGCAGCCCTGCTTCCCATCCAGCTCCCTGCCTGTGGCCTGGGAAAGCAGTGGAGGACGGCCCAAAGCCTTGGGACCCTGTACCTGTGTGGGAGACCTGGAAGAGCTCCTGGCTCCTGGCTGTGGATTGGCTCAGCTCCAGCCATTGTGGTCACTTGGGGAGTGAACCAGAGGATGGAAGATCTTCCTCTGTCTCTCCTCCTCTCTGTATATTTGCTTTTTCAATAAAAATAAGTAAATCTTTAAAAAAAAAAGAAAAAAAGCAAATGTAATTCTCTGTGTGAATAAACATCAGGACAATCTTCAAGTGCCACGCAGGCCGTGGAGAAGATGAACACATTCCAGAAGCTGCTGGAATCCTTGACGCCCCCTGAGCCCCAACTTCTGATCCCCTCAACCTGCAACCTGCGCTCCTCGTGTTGGACCCTGCAGGTGTCTGCTGCGCCGTGGCAACCCGAGAGTAGTGGCAGCGCGTGGCCTGAGCAGGTGGCTGGCCCTCGCGGCCTTCGCAGCTGCCCACACCCCATCTCAGCGTGGGCACGGGGATTCAAACCGCAGACTCCGAGGTTTAGTCAACACATTTACTGAGATCCCAGGTCCCAGGCCCATGGGAAACGGAGATGAAGCCGATGTGGTTCCTCATCCAAGAAGGTCCCAGCTTGCCGATGGGTAACTACAAAATCAGCATGGCCACTGCATGCCACAGTGGGGCAGGGGGAGCCCCCAGGGGCGGAGTCCAACAGGGGCAGGCGGCAGGCCTGGGTGGTGGGCACGGGCTGGTCACTGCAGGCCTGCCCACTGCAGGGACGTGTAGACCACCGTGCCATCAGGCTGCGGGGAGCCCAGCAGGAGGGTCTTGCGGACACTGGTCCCCAGGCGGCCGGCAGCCACCAGGTCCTGCAGCGGGATGGGGTCCTCAGGGGCCCAGCACTGGGCAATGTAGTGGGCGTGGAAACGCAGCGGGTCACCTGGGGACAGAGACAAGCACAGGCTGGAGTGCGACAGGGACGCTCGGCAGGCACTGGGGACCCTGCGGCTCTGGGCAGCGGTGGCAGCATCCGCCATCCCTCAAATGCCAACAGCCCATCCCGCAGCGGAAACCCCCGCACGCCCTAGAGGAAGGGACATGCTGTGGTGCGAACAGGGTGTGGCTCCCCAAGCTCGCGCAGACCTGAACCCCAGTCTCAGGGCAACCATGTGGGTTAATGTGGACGCTGAGGGGAGAGGGGAAGCCGGGTCCTGTTCAGAGCCTGTCAGCTCCTGGTGGGTGAGCGGGGCACCCGTGTCCCTCCCCTCCTGTGCTCGGGTTGACCCTGTGCTGGGGCTCTGCCAGCAGATGCCAGGCCAGTGGAGTGGGTGTGGACGAACCCAACTTCTCCTCCTGGATATTTTAGCTGGGAGCCACAAGCTGACAGGGCAGACCCGTTAATGGGTGAAGAAAGGGGGGTGGGAGCAATTCTCACCGCAGGTACAGTGTTGTCTACTTGAAAGACAGCTGGCCTGGGCCTGGGGCAGTAGCCTAGCAGCTAAAGTTCTTGCCTTGCTCACGGGCCTGTCACCGCCCCATGAGGGCGGCGGGTGGGTGCCGGGCCTGCCCAGTCCCGGAGGCCTCCCCCTCGGTCTACTCACCCCGAAGGAAGCGGCCCCCGGAACCAGCAGGCCCGGGGACAGCTCAGCACATGGCGGCTGTGCCCATGGCGGCTGTCCGGGATCCAGGCATGAGACGCCCCGTCCTGAGACCCACCAGCTGCCAGGAGGCTGCTGGAGGTTTAAATAACCCAGGCCCAAGGTCGCGCCCCTCCCAAATCCCATTCACCGCCCCATGAGGGCGGCGGGTGGGTGCCGGGCCTGCCCAGTCCCGGAGGCCTCCCCCTCGGTATACTCACCCCGAAGGAAGCGGCCCCCGGAACCAGCAGGCCCGGGGACAGCTCAGCACATGGCGGCTGTGCCCATGGCGGCTGTCCGGGATCCAGGCATGAGACGCCCTGTCCAGAGACCCACCTGGGCACTGGTTCTAATCCCAGCGGCCCTGCTTCCCATCCAGCTCCCTGCCTGTGGCCTGGGAAAGCAGTCGAGGACGGCCCAAAGCCTTGGGACCCTGCACCTGTGTAGGAGACCCGGAAGAGGCTCCTGGCTTTGGATCACACACAGCTCTAGCCGTTGTGGGCACCTGGGGAGTGAACCATTGGGTGGAAGATCTTCCTCTCTGCCTCTCCTCCTCTCTGAATATCTGACTTTTCAATAAAGATAAATAAATCTTTTTTTTTTTTTTAAAGATTTATTTTTATTATTTTTTCATTGGAAAGGCGGATGTACAGAGAGAGGAGAGAGAGAGAGAGGAAGATCTTCCGTCCGATGATTCACTCCCCAAGTGAGCGCAACGGGCCGATACTATGCCGATCCGAAGCCAGGAGCCTCCTCCGGGTCTCCCGCACGGGTGCAGGTTCCCAAAGCTTTGGGCCGTCCTCCACTGCTTTCCCAGGCCACAAGCAGGGAGCTGGAAGGGAAGCGGGGCTGCCGGGATTAGAACCGGCGCCCATATGGGATCCCGGGGTTGCAAGGCGAGGACTTAACCACTTGCGCCACCGCGCCGGGCCCAAGATAAATAAATCTTAAAAAAAAAAAAAAAAAAAAAAGTCTGCCCGATTGGGGCCTGGCATTGTGGCAGAGCCAGTTGTGCCGCCTCCTGGGGTGCTGGCCGGAATCGTGGC